CAATAGCGTTGGATCTTCACGCGTTCGAAAAGTGAGTCCGCCATATGCCGCCATGGAGCCGAGTGATCGTGGCCGTCTCACGCTTCGTTCGCGACTCGGAAAACTGGCAAGATTTTACCCCCCAAAACCCCCCAATACTGATAAGAAAAGGGCAGAATTATGTACTATGTTTCCATTTCTTCAATTTAAATGGGGCCTAGTGGACCCATAATTTAGAGCCGCCAAACTAAAGGATCCTGGAATTTTTTGTCGAGTCTGGTTTTGGAGCAGGAAGGGAGAAGTTCTTATTGTTGCTGCCGTGCATTCTTGAGAGATTCAGCGTCGGCGTGAATGTAGGTGGCCTTGGCAAGGACTTAGGCAATTTGGGCGGTGAAACGACCGCAGGATTTTTGTTGTCTGAATGGCCGGCACCGTGTAGACAGTCACTGCACCGTTTATTTGAGATACGATTGGACCCAGATTGTCACTGCTGAATTCCTGACGTCTTCCTTGTCATCTTGTCATTGTCATTTCGTCATTAAGACAGGTTTATGGTTTGGACTACGATCGAGAGAGATAATATAATTAGAAATTTTCATGGGATGTTTTTTAATGGGATATGAGATGATAAATCTGACGAGTTTCCATAACAGCTTTTGTCTGCCGTGTTTTGCTCCCTCACTGGCACTGAGACATTTATGAAAGGGTGCGCCCCGTTAGACTGTCATAAATGAGTTGGAAGTTGTTTTGAGGTACATTCCATTATTGTGAGTCCCTGTCTGAAGTTGAAGTGGTCCTGGATATGTCATTTGTACTTTGCAGCAACGCACTGCGTGGATTGTTCTCTCAGCAAAAAGCGAAATGCGTGCACGTTCCGGAAACCAAGGGGCGTTATAAAATAACAAACCATTTTACGTTTTCCCCTCCGTTTATCACGAGCATTGAGCACGCTAACCCCCAAAAATGTAGGCCCCACGTTTGTCTGGTACACTCTTCAATTTGAAGTTCAATTTTCATCTACCTTCTGGTTCTATGGAAACACATTACCACCACAAACATAATTTTGTTTCACGTTGGCCTATGGTTTAACGTAAGGGTTGTGCGTGTTAGTTTTTATTCGATAGTACTGTACGTGTGCAGTACATGAACCAAAGTAGAACTATCACATACGTGTTATCCGGACGCACGTGAAACTTTTCGCGAAGAATATTTTGTATTTTTTTATTACTGGCCTGACAAAAGGGATCAGAGCCGCTGACAAAGCCGTCGTTTGGGAGAACCGTGTCTGTCATGTTGTTTGTCTTTCTGTTGAATGCGAGCTGTGCGTCTTGCCCTCCTGCTATTTGCTCGATTGCTCGACATTGGGTCCAGACAATTCGCGAAACCCCAAGAAACGAAATCTTCTGCTCCAATCTTGAAAAAGTAACCTTTGACCCTCTTGGACAGAGAATAATGTCTTGGGATCTATTGTGGACGAGGGAGATGTGATCCGACCTGTGACCAACCTGATGAGTCGAAGACGCGGGGGGAGAGATAGACGGGGCGAGCCATTGACCATAGCTTCGTCGGTTGACTCTGAATTGAAGCTAGCCATTGTCCAGAAAGAAGAACCAATTGAATGCGGAGATAGCGGGAGGTTGGGGGAGACTGTAATTTATCAAAAGCGAAGGTCACTGTGGCTAATATCATTCAAATGAGCGTAGCTGGGGGTAAGCCGGAGGCCCAAGAAAAATTCTGGGGGGTGAAGAGTTGAATCCGCGGCCCTTGCCCAAAACTTAAACCCCAAAACAGGCCTACGAGGACTGAAACATACTACGGCCCGGGTGCTTTGTAGAGGACCAGACTATAGAGTGAAAACTCACTGCTTACAAAGTCATGTGATCATCATAGTAGTCCAAATGCATCTAAATCCAGGAGTGCGCACGCACATGGGGTACAGGCACGCGCACACTGATTTCTTGCAGAACAATAATGGTTGACATGCAGGCTCCCTTTTATGTACATGTACTGTACATGTACGTAGTTGTCGTGATGGAGAAGTACGGACCCAAAGTAGTGAAAACGCAACAGGTTCAACTTAAATAGTCTTTTTTCAAGAGGTCATTATTTTCATACTCGGTAGATGTACATGTACTTCGAAAGGGAACTAACCATTGTGCGTGATTCAGTTGTGTGGAAGACCTTGTGGCGTGTAATTTGGCACAAACTCTTCCGGTTTTGATGGCCACCAATTTATAAGCTACACGCAGTGCTGTGACAATCAGACTGTCCATTTGTAATAATGGCCGAAATGAATTGGCAGGTCGACAGATGGATAAGTTCATCCAGAAATGTACCGGCTTGTAGGAAGGAAAGACGGAATATAGGAAAGCCCGAGCTATCATGTGTTTTGCTGTCGTTTATGGACCAAAAACATACCGAAATGCACGAAGTGAAATTTGAATTCAGCCAAACATACCACATCTGTTCATGCAAAACTTCATCTGCAAAGGGATTAAGGATGACCATTCATTCACCGTTCATTTACAGTTCATTCACCGTTCTTTAATTAATGAAGTGAAACCCTCTTATTTTGGCCGGTATGTGAATGCTGACAGGTTTTATAACATGTTTGCGGTTGTTGTTTTTTTGGATGGTACCGGCAATGTTTGTAAATGAGTTCTTACACATAATCCATTAAAACAGCTGTTGTCAGAGTGCTGTGATCAGTATTACGGTTTTTGAAGTCTGGATTTAAAACTCGACTGGTAAAATCTAGCGGTGGATTTCTCTTCAGGCAGACCTAAGTACTATCCTCCTTTAAACATTCATTAGTTAATGAGGCATTCCCCACAGCTCTCGACTTCGCGTGATTTCACCTTTTACTCATTGAACTGTTGCGATGTGTTGCTCCCTCATCGTTCTCTCAAACACTTTGAAATGCTCTAGCTTTGCCATGAATTAGTTCTTAATATTGTTTGCCCCATCCTCAAAATGAAACACAAGCCCAATGAAATTATACAAGTTTTTTTCTCCCGCTATGTACATATGCAGTGTGTCCTCGATTTATTACAAACAGTACTTCCAATCTGAAAACTGTCTGGGTTGTTTGTCACAAATTGTAAAACCTAGTTTGGACCTGTCCTCTGTCATTTATGTGTTGCCATGGCATCAGGACAAGTTATGTAATATCCCAATCTGAGGAGAATAGACAAATCATGTTCTGTCATCGTATCGCGTTTTGGCTCAGATGACAGACCTGTCATACCTTACTGGGCTCGATAATCACTAGTGTAGTGTGGACAACCAAAATGAAGACAAAAGAGATCAACCGAAAGTTTCCACTTTCTGTTTGTAGGGTTCAGGTTTTTTAGTAGTCGCGACATTCGTTCTTTGAAAACAAACTTCGATTGGGCGTATAATTTTGCCCTGGTACTAGCCAGCAACCACATAGCGGACAGTCAGGTTTTTATTTGATACGGTGCCCCCTTGCAGCATCAGAGTTTGGAACGCTGAACTTCTTCGCGAGGGTGCGCTGTTTGTAAATGAGATCGGGTTTGGAACTTGAAGGCAGAGTTGGGAGTTTGCTCGTCACCAGCGCCCCAACAGGGCGCTGGGAAGGGCTGATGGCCTTACACAGATTTTAGCGGAGGAAATACGTCACACGGGTTCACAGCCATTGGTCACAGCTAATGACGCGCAGAGCAATGTGGGTAGATCTCTGTCTGTCGCGTGAGCTCGCTCAATGTGTTATACAGGAGGCGGTTATCAATTCGATATTTTTCTTTTTCTTCCTCATTGCTTAAAATATTCTCACTACACTATATTCGTTGTATAAACTATATTTGTTCATCCAAAATTGACCAATATAACTAATGATTTGAAATATGTTGCCAAAAGACACGTGATCAGTGATACTTAGTAAGGAATTACCACACTGTGATCGTATCAAGGCCATGTTTTAATTGATTATACTTTGCCCCCGTATTGAGAGCGTTACCATTGGGGAACCAAGAAATTTAAATAACGCTTCGCCAACAGGAAGTGATAACCTTGCGGTCGCAAGTTGTGCACCCAATGTAGCCAATCACACTGCCAAAGCCATTCGTCCTTCCCAGCGCCCAGTTTGGGCGCTGGCGACGAGCGAAAGTTGGCAGCCCTGTTTCTTAATTGCTAAGCTTTTGGTGGAATGCTCGGAACGTACATGTATATGTTTGAAACGTCAGGGCCAATTATGTGGCTATTTCAGATTTCAGTTACTTTGATATGCAGTTTGAAACAACTATTGTATGAACTTCACTGTATACCCAAAACACCATCCCCTGTATGTTTTATAGTTGCAAATGATTGGGGCATTTAAGCAAGGTATATGAACTGTGATTTTTTTTTTACCACGACACGCTAGGGCTAACCAGACATTTGATTTATAGGCTTTAATGATGATGGCTCTGGAGAATCTTTCCAAGGGAAGTGAAGTCCGACAATTCAACAGGGGAAGCTTCAACAGCACACAAAGTTTGGTCTCCTCTCAAGAATGGCAATAAATCAGTGTCCCCATAGAGAGTCTATGGCGTGTCCCCAGACTGCTGTGTAATGAAACAATTGCGTATTGATNTATAGGGATTTAGAATGGTTGGCACCAGTTGCTACCGAAGTGTGATCAAATGGCACAACTCACACGTCACCCTCGGGCCTCCTCGGTCACAGCTGGCTCCTTGTCTTCAGTCATTTCCTTGGAGGAAAGGGGTTGTATTCTAAAACTGATCCCAAACATCTTATGGCGTACCCAGGTGGGGGGGGGAGCTGGGAGACATGTTACCAATTTTTGTTTGTTTTGTTTGTTGATAATGAGGCGGGAATACTACCACAGTACTACCTATCGATGGCATTATACTCAGTCGTTTTAGAAGAATTTCCATTTCATCTCCCCATCGACCCAAGACGTAGGCACACCACTGAAGCATTCTATTTGGATGAGAAAACTACATATACTTATTCGGTCTGAAACGTGCTAAATGGAGTCTCACTTTTTTTGCCTGCAGGACCTAATAGTTATGATTACTCGGCCCGCAGCCCGTTCGTCTCGCCGACCGAGGAGATGAAGACATGCCTGATCTGCGGCGACCGTGCCACGGGCCTTCACTACGGCATCGTGTCGTGCGAGGGCTGCAAAGGCTTCTTCAAGCGCAGCGTGTGCAACCGCCGAGTCTACCGCTGCCTCCGGGAGAAGAACTGCATGATGTCGCGGCAGAAGCGCAACCGCTGCCAGTACTGTCGGCTACTCAAGTGCCTACAAGTCGGTATGAACCGGAAAGGTGAGTCTCTGAGCAGGATGGAACCCCAGCCCCTGGCTGGATTCGAACGTTCTTGCAAACACCTACTGCCCTAAACTAGCATCATCTCCAATGGCATTCAGGGTGTCAGTCGCCAAATGGCGACTAGTCATTGAAAATGTGCCAGCTTGGTCCCCAATATTCTTGGTTGGTCTCATTGTTACACAAACCTTTGTTACTGTGCGTGAATTTCCTCAGCATATGCAGCAAGGTATGAGACGGAGAGAACCCCCCTGCTTTGTGTTGGTCATTGTCTCGCAGTAATCTGGGGAATTCCTTCAGACATCTTGGGGGGGGGGATGTGTTAAGTAACAATAGTCTGGAATGTGTATAGGGATTGGACATGTTGGGGGGGTACCCCTCGGTCTCATTTCTTGCTGGGTATATTCCTCAGACAGTGAACGCTTTTATAAAAAAGGTTATTTTACACTCTCTGCATTTAAAGAGAAAATGTCTTCGCCATTGCATCAGAAGTTTCTTTTGCCCAATCTTTTCGCAATCTTTTATAAGGGGTTGACGAGGGATTTTTTTTGTCTTGACTGCCGCCAGTAGTTTAGCAACCCGTCATCAGCACGAGGCGGCTATTACCTTGCACATTAAAAGCGGATGACACCAAAAATGACACTCTGTTGCTTTTTAAGCTGAACGATTGATTTCAAAGGAGGCAAGATACTAGACTTCATAAGGAGATCAACTATAGTTAGACTTGATGGGATACACCATAATGACGCAGCTCGCAGACTTTAAACCTCTGTCTATATTGGAAAGGGCACCTTTCTTTCAAGGTCTTTTTATATTTTACAGCCATCCGAGAAGACGGCATGCCAGGTGGAAGGAACAAAAGCATCGGCCCAGTTAAGGTAAGTTCCGTACAGCAAACTTTAACCAATAAAATTTACCATTAAAGTTTACCCCTCCTTTGGTCTGAAGGAATAGATGGCGCCATAACAGAGGTCGCTTTCCGCGATTGGTAACTCGTTCAATGAACAAGAATTTTCACCAGAGAAGTTCTCGCGTTGTATCCCTCGTACTTGTTTAAACTTATCAACTTATGTTGATTTCTGATTGATTACTCTGTTTACCAGTGTGCCGAATTCTTCTGAATTTGTGTCTTTGTTTGTCTATTCCACATCATTATCTTGAAGATACCCACGTGGTGATGATGGGACGATTCTCCTTTTATAAAAACGTCGGTTGTAAGTGTATCAAAACACTTGTCTTTGCGACATGCATGGGGATGTCTGTAAAGAATTTCGCTTAAGGGGCGTCAGGAACATTCTTCGAATCTGAAATACTGTATTTTATCACTTTCAGCCTTGTATGTCGCCTTACAATTATCCCATGTTCTTCCGTTTTGCACGAAACGGTTAACTTAAGAAATGTTTCTGAAACAGATGGGGGTTCGTAAATCAGTTTAGCGCCCTCATTCGTCTGAGGCTTCTTTTTTAATCCGCATACTATACAAAATGTGCGTGATAATGCTCAGTCGTGTCCGACTTTCTGGAACGTATGTTCACTCCATCCCATGCAGTCGTGCACCACTTAGTTGAGAGTTAGCGCATGCGCACTCGACAACTTTACCGTGGATTTTGAGGCAGGCGACGTCGAACATCGTTCCGACACTTCTTTCCGCAGATAGAGACCATCATTTATTTTTAACAAAATACAAACAAATGAAGTTCATGGAGATAACCTAACTAAACATTGATCTAATTGATCTAACAACATTAAAACACCCTATTAAAGTGAACCCAGTTGCCCAAAATTTGAAACGAATTCTGAAAAGTGATTTTTACAAAATAAACACGATCAGATTTGAAAGAAAATACGTCCAGTGTCTTTCCTATTTTAAAACAACTTCTCCAGTTTATATAAAAAAACTAAACAAAATAAAGTGTCGTGTGTATTAAGGCCCGATAAAAACATCGGTAGTATTTTCAAGTTCTTGCGAATTGAATATTTTGCACGAGAATCATTTGTCCGTAGTAGTGCATGTACACGTATACGTGTGCTGATTGCAGTACATGTACATGAACGTTGCACATGTGAACACATAAATCATGGCCGATCGGTCGACAGAGAGCCAAAATTGAAATTGATCAAACTAACAAAGGACAATTTGCAAAAGCTTAAACGTAACATGGTAACCTTTTACAAACACTTTTTCACAATTATTAAGATATGCAGCATGTGTGGAAAAACTAGAGAACAATTCAAATTTTCGAGTTTGAAATACCTTTTTTTTACGTTCGGAAATAGTAACATACAAACCATGTTCCATCCCATTTCCTCCCAAATGTCACTTTTGATTAACAAGACATACATCACAAATTGAAATCTGAAGCCTGATTTTATTTCTCTGGTATAAATTCGGCAAACTTTTAGACAATGCGGAAGATCTCCGCAGATGGATTGTGGTGAAACAAGCAACAGAAAGAAACCACGACTTTGCCGAATTTCAGGGCATGCACACAAACTTAGTTGAAGGGTAGGCTGAACACCTCCTAAAAAACATACATGTCTAAGGAAGCCGCTTGCGAGAGGCTTTGTGTATTTCCCAACGGCACTGATTTGTTATCAAGTTGTTGCTACTAAAGAGCGCCACCGTTTCGGGTTTTTTTTTTCAATTTTTACGTGAGCGAGGGCGCCCTGTATGGTAACCGTTGATTCCAACTTCGCGGGAATTCAGCTCTTAACGGCGAACGTACGTTGAAGCATGGAGGTAAGAAAAGTTCTCCATGGTCGAAGACGAAACAGGAAAATGGCGAATTTGAAAATTTGGTTGAAAAAATTGATACACGAATTCTTTATATATGAAATACAGTTGTAGGAAAATCATGCACAAACAAATGTGGACATGTATTACCTGAAAAACCGACCAAGAGCCTACATGTACATGCGGTATCCTCCCCTTATGGCAACAAAGACTTTGATACGAACAAAGGGTAGTTGCGGCAGAGGGCGCTATTTCGCGTTGCTGCGGTGAGCAATTTGGAATAGGACAGGTACCGAAGGACGTACACGCACTGCGAAATCTATAAGGGACCAGTTCTATCAAGCGTCACGTTCGTGTTGCGGATTTTTCCTTCAGCATAATGTCACCGATTAAGTTTTTATTTGTCGAAAGCCTCAACCGAAGGTGTTATTTGTTTACCATTTCAACTACCAAATAAATGCTGACGCTCATTCAACTGTGTTTAAGTCTTGCTAAAGTTGTTGAACTTGTTAGTGAAAGTAACTTCCATCTTACACACGATATTTACGAATGCTTTAGAAGGGACAAAATTGATATAGATTCATCGTCAAATTCGTCTTCATTCATGGATGTTTTCTGTCTTACTCGCCAGATTGTTTCATTATCAGGTGTCTGTGGCGCGAGGTTTTTCTTATTAAAAGAAAGTGTCAAATGTAATTATTTCTGGTTAGTATAACACTTTTTAATGTCGGCATTTTCGTTCGAGTGGGTATTTAGTCATAATAACTGATAATCCCGAGTCCTCGACCCGAGTCTCCCCGGGGGAAGATTAACCATATGATGGGTTCACTGGCCAAATGAAGGATTTTTAGACAGACACAAAAAATGGAAACGGACACGTGAGAGCCAGTCACTCTTTTGTCATCACAATCAACGCTGGCGGCGCTTTCACTGGAGGTGTTTAATGCTCGTTCCGAGGACTAATGGGACGGGTAGAATCGCTCTTTAATCTGACGGGTTCTATGCCGTCTCCTGTCGCGTCTGTCCAGTCGTGTGGAACGCTAACCGTCGGTGGCGTTGCGACGGATCACTTCGGCAAACGTGATCTGCGCTCTATAGCCATTCTTATAAGCGCTCTTCCAGCCGTTTGGTGGTGGTGGGCTTTGAAGCGAGACGGGAGCTGCTGCCCCGGTTTGGACACGCCTCACTTGATTCGTCCTTCCTTCCGAGCTTTCACTGGCTTTCATCTACGCCCTTCCCCCCGGGGGGGGGTTAGTGGTGGTCGTGGCTGGTACAAAAAAGGTTTAGAAGAGATTTAATGATAAACACCTCAAACAACATATGTGATAAGCAAAGGGATCGGGTAGCCCTCTTTGGCTTCGCGTACATATCTGTACACTTTGTTCGGTTGTTTTTTTTAATTTTGGAAGTAGGGCCTAGTCGCCTCGTCGGACAGCTCAGCAGCCATCAAGTGCATCATTAAAAAGTTACAAGAAACTGCCACTTTTGGGCAAAGAAAATCAATTTTGAAACTACTTGAAATAGGTCCTTTTCGAGCTTTTTGCAATACATTGGTCGAGAATTACGGCCCAGCGGCTGTTCGTTTTATTTTTTTATGGGCAAAAATGCAACTAATATCTTGAGGTCAGGTCTTCATTCCGGATTCAGTGGGATAAAATGTGAGGAAGTGTTCATCAAAACAAGCGAACGAAACAAAAAACAAAATTGGTTGTCAGTAGTAAGACAAAGTTGCAGACGACGTTGTAGAATTAGCGTGTGGAGCGAGTGAAAACGCCAGGAAATTGTCAAATTTCAGGTCTGCTTCGTAGGCGTTTACCTGATTTTTTTCCCTTGGAGGTCGATGCGTCCTTCAGGCGAAGACGCAATTTGATTTCATGACGTCAACAAACATTTGTAGTTCGGAACAAGGGATGGTCTGAACCAAATTTTTGGGGGAAGGGGGGGCAAAATTCCGAATTTTTTCATATAACTTTGTGTTGCCTTTCTGAGGAATGAGGCTAGATTTAGGGGGATTTTTACCCACTTTTGGAAAAAAGGCATGAAAGAAAAAAAAACGTCTTTCTCCCATTATTTGACAAAAAACTCCTTTTTTGGGGGGGGGGGTTGGCCTCATTGTCCCTCATCAGCCGTTGCTTCGGAGTTCGGAGAACATAAAGATCAACTGACTCTCCTGCTCACTTCGAGTGCAGCTTTAACAAGGCTCAATGCTTCCGGCATGTCTCCCTGGCGTGTAGAAGGTTGAAAGCTGAAGCAAGGGAAAACTTATTGTAAGTCCTTGTAAATTTGAGAGAAGTCTTTAAAGACAGAAAATGGATGATGGTGAGACTATGAGTTCAAGCCATTTCCCTCTCTAATTGGAACCCGTTCACTCCTTCTCCTACCGATAAATCAGTCCTGTAAATCTCTTTTCCTTTTGCTCTGTAAACTCCAAAGTCCTAAGAAAAAGGTGTTGCTAAACGGTGTGGAAATACTTACTCGGTTGTCTTGATCTATTTGAGACTGGGAGAAAAAAGAAACCCTTAATGTTCGAGTCCCCAAGCCTGATTACCTGGGAAACTCGGCCGGGCTATAATAGACTCCAAATTCGGCCTCCACGCCGACCGTTTCGACCTTGTGCTCATCTCAGCTTGTTTTTTTCACTCTGTTCCCAATAACGAATCAAAAAAATCGGATTATCTTCTCTTCTAAATCAGGAAATCGCTGTGTACGTGAACCTGTTTCAACTTGGCCATCGTCTGATACGCCGAATCTGATGCAGCCTCCCCTATGCAACCCCTCCATCTCGTCCCCTCATCAACCATTTTCCTATCATGGGCCTATGCCCCCCCCCTTTGGAAATGAAAAAAAAATGCCAAGTGTGGCGACCACTTAGAGTAACAAACTGTGATTGAATTAAAAGAGGGAAAGGAGACCGCAAAGGCTTTTTAAGATAGTGTTGTATTTATTAAGAAGATTCGACCGTCGTCCCGGCCTTTTAAGGTTGTGTTCTATTCGGCGAAGCGCGTTTGCGTGTCCACCCCCCTTCCAGATTTGTGGCGTCATCAATTCCTTCAATAAAACGGATTTATTGGTATTGAGATCTGTAGGTTTGAGGTCAGCCACATTTCCCTGTCAATTACTTTGGACACACGTCTTTGCCAAATT